TTTACTAGTATTAAAAGCAACGACTTTAGCTTCATTCTAAATAGCAATTCCGAGTAAATATTAATTCCAAATTTTTGTTAATATATGTTATATATTTTTTTATGGAAATTTCTTGTTAGAGGGTGCTTTTTTATATTGTTTTCTTACATCATTTTATTAGTGCAATTAGGTAGCACTATGGATGTTGTTTCTTTGCGTATGTAGAATGGAGTTAAGTTAAACATCGACTATATGCGGGACTAAAAGGATTTATTTCGTAATATGAATTTAATGTAGTTGAGCAATTCAAATGCAGAATCTGGAACATATGGAATTATGTTTTTGTACAATATTTCACTATAAAAAGAAATATCTACAAGTAAATCGACTTCATTTTTCCATTAATAATTCATTCAGTGCTCCTCGAAAAAATATTGACTACAACACTTCCATTCATATAGACACTCTTGGGCTGCTGGGAGGTCTCTCGTTTAGTGCTCGCCTTACCATTTTCATTGACTGTTCTAAAATAGGTAGTGTTGCAGGCAGTGAAGCTTTATCAAAGGCTTTTTGAACGTTGCATTGTTTTTCAGGCGGAGATAATCGCTATTAAGGAAGCTATAGTTTGTCTGGAAGTCGATAATATATTTATGAGAATATATACATACTTTCAGACAGTCACGTTGGTCTAAATTCTTTGAGTTCAGTTCAGTTCATATCTAGGACGATTTTACATGGAACATAGGGATATTTTCTGCCATTGCAGGCAAACGAGCTGGCCAGAGGGGCTGCTTCAGATAATCACTCGAAACACCTTATCAAATAATCAATACGTAGGTTTCTGTATGTAAGTTGGTTTTATTACACTATTAAAATTCAGTATTGTCATTAAGATACCTACTAAATATAGAGGGCTTTGTTATTATTAATGATTGAGTTTTCCAATATATCAAAAGAAGCTTTCTTTTCTTATATCTACTTGTCACGTTACAGAAGAAAATTGCAGATTTAGATGAAGTGAATTTTTAAATGAGTAATGCGTATCAGTAGAGTTCAATTGTTTCTGACACAGTTTCTTCGTTTAAAAGAGCAAATCTGAACAGAAATGCAATTAAAGAAATTAAATTTGAAATAATAAAAACGCAATAAGGACTTTTTGAATTATTGTCTTCATGCATTTGTCATGCATGTCAAACAGACGGAAGAAATCACTTAAAATTTCTTTCCTTATTCATGTCCTTCTATTGTTTATTAAACAAAATACGGCATAATTAAAATTAAAAATTTCAAATCAGATAAAACTTTTTCACTGGCATAGAATCTTTTCAGAGGTATAGAATCTTTATTGCTTTAAAGACAATAATAATACAAATGCCAGAGAGAAATTGTGAAAAAGATTCTACAAATTTAAACAAATTGAATTGTTGTTTCGATGATTTGAACTCTTAAAAGCATATCCTTCTAAATAAAATATCCTTTGATTGTATTACAAACAATTTTATATATTCTTATAATTTTCCGAATTAAATTTCATCTACCACAATCTTTACAAAGTACACAAAATCTGAACAGTATTCATGCCTCTTCCACGCTACGGCAGAAAGGATCCTCAAATATTTGCGTAGAAAATCAGTGAAGCTCAAAATTTAACGACGCCATAAACAGAAAACAAATCCAACACTAAAAACTTAGTCAAAAGTGCGAGCAAATCGAAGTCCTTGTAGCCACGTTCTCGGTCTCTGTAAATTGTCGTAATGGCGTGGTAAAGGTTTTAAGGACCTCAGCACACCAAAGTAGATGTACGGTTGTTTTGAATAAAAACTGTGACTGTCAGCAAATGCATGAACTCATTGGAACATACATCATCAGGTTGGAGTTTCCACATGTTGCGAATGACTTTTATGCTGATTACGCACAAATAATAAATGTCTAAAATTCCTTTGCACCCAAATTCAAGCGGTAGCAGCAAAAGGACGTCTAACCAAAATAAACAGAATAAACAGAATAAAATAAAATACTTAGAAAAACCTAATAAACTGGAAACGGCATACATTTAAATAAATTTTTTTAAATATTATTTCTATTGCTTTGCTTTGCTTTAAGTTTTAAATAAGAAATGAACCAAAATATTGAATCCACGTGAAATTTGTTCAACGACGAATTCAAATTCTTCAGAAACTTTTTCAAAATGAAAACAAACTTTTTTCTCAGTCTTTCTGGGGTTTCCAAACTTTGCACTTTAAAATTTTTATTGACATAAAACATTTCAAAGGATATTTTTGTTGCGCATTCTGACTCGTATAAGACAAGGAATGGCGTTCACTGCAAGCTCCATAAGCAGCGCAGAGTGAACTTAATTTTTAACACTCGAGAATTTTAGAAGGAAGAAGAGTTGAAAACTTAAGACAAATTTACTTAAACAAGGACTTACAAGGACTCACCGAATGACAGAAAACCAAAACTGTGTTATTTAAATATTTTCAAATTTTTGGAATGTCGTATTAAGCGTTGTTTATAAATTCAGTTCTTTTTAATTTGATGAAGAAATTGATAGAGGAAACATGTAAGACAAATTTGAGATTTTTAAATCAGGTTCATGAAGGATATAGCGAAAAATATAAAAATGCATATGAGTTTATAAATATTTTTATATTTCATGCTAGAAGATTAGGTCCCCTATTCAATCAAATCAGTCGCAGCTGCGAGGAAGACGATGAGAGTGCCTCTCATCTACTATGTTTTTGCAAAGCTCATGCAGGGCGGCGACTTAATAATCTCATTTTATGCTTTGTCAAAGGTTCTAGGTGGTTTTCAACTATGTGTTTTTCCTATATATACAGTAACACAATGGGTCAATAGGCCTAAGTGGATGCACTAGGAATCGCCGGTATAACGTAACCTAACCTAAATATATAGTATGTAAAAACTGAAATGAACAAAGACGTAGTTCAAGGATGGACAAACAATAAATTTTAGGTAATATTATCCTTATCAAAATCATAGATAAACCTTATCTAAGTTATATAATAACTAGTCTCCAGCTTGAAGTTATCAGCAGGGAAGAGACTCTCAACAAATTCAGAGCTTTGCTTTTAATGTCAGATAAGTGTGCCGGGTTATTAAAATAGAAGAGATCTTCATAATATGGAGTAATATGGACTTACTAATTCATAACTAAAAATTAGGGATCTTAAAAGAGGTAGTGAAGAGAAGAATATAGGTAATGCTTACACACAACGACGAATCTCTTGATGAAGAAGATGACAAATACACAACCATGATGAAAAGTGCTGTTAACATAGCTGTTAACACGTATTGAATTTTTTTTTGATGAAGTCAGATTCCTATGAAACTGATATACCCACATCCTGCGTATTACCTCTGGCAGCCATTATCTTTAACATGACCGTTACTTGATAAGAAAATATCAAAAGCCTTCGTCAGCCTATAAAGTAAAGACATTTCTAATATGATTGTTTGTATAACTGGGAATTATTTTTAATGAGTATTGCAGAAGTTGTAACGATGAAGAATCATTCGAAATCATGAAACATTTTTTCTGTAACTGTTCGGCTCTCAGTGGTTCCATAGGGTAGGTCTTCTATTCAGCAGTAGTATCATAATAGACACACGATGTCTAAATGAATGGGTTAACTAGATCGACTGCCATATTAATGATTGTGTTACTGTTGATAGATCCTAATAACTGTCGTATTAGATAAGTATTTTATGTTTTTTACTTTTAGCAACGAGTATCCTAAAAGAAGTATAAGTACAGCCAAAAAATGTTATAAATAAAATAACAAATTGGAATATATTATTTTACAAACTATATTGTTATTTATATTTACAACAGTAAAGTCGGATGGAAGGACTTACTTTCTACTTTGATATGCATATTCAGTTGGATTATATTATTATTATATTAACATATTTTTTTGCCTATATTTAAATTTATATTTAAAAAAATATAGTAATTAAATTAAATAACAACAAATTCTTAATTTGATATATTGAACAAACATTTGAATATATATTTTATATTAACAATTTTAATTTATATAAACATTTTAATACATAAAAAGGCGTTTTTAATACTAATACTACGGTTTTTTGTTAGGTGAGTAAGAAATTATATATACTTTAATTAACTTTTCATGTAAACTGTACTCATATGTGTATTAAAATAAAATTATGTGCTTAATATAATTATGTGCTTAATCATAATATAATCATTTATTATATAAAATTACATTTAAATAATGTAATTCTATAAATTATATTATTATGCCTTGAATTCTGTCGTGTATTATGTGTTTTATTTATGTATGTATCTTTATAGACTTTTTTGTTTAGACATTTATGTATATATGTACGATTTAATCAATTTCTTAACTAATAATACAAATTAGATAGTTAGTGCACATATGTATGTGTTTATTAATATAAATAACGCATAAATGATGAAAAAAATTGTAACAATGTTTTTAACATTTTAGTTATTTTACTGGGAATTTGTACAAATTACACTAATTAAACAATAAATAAATCGATTAAAGAAAGTTACTAATTACTTTTCAAATTCAAATACTTTAACATATCGCTACAAATACGAGTACATAAAAATTAAATGAAGTTTTTTTCAGTGTAAGAAGTTTGAGTGAATGCTTGCCAGATTGCGCCAATTATAAGAAAAGATTTTTACACAAAAAATAGTAATAAATTTTAGAGTATTTAACTACTTGATGCTACACGATTAGAGATTAAAAAGGATGTTAAAGGACAAAATGAAACTACAGTGGACGCCACATGTGATGTTTTTTTCTACGGCAGAATTAATTTTAAAAAAATTTTTTTGTTTTGTAATTAAAAAAGTTATGTGAATGAATTTAAGTTTCGGTTTTGTTTGATGTTAGCTACTTTAATGGTGAATTTATTGTTCTTTATACATTTTTTATTTCGAAATAAAACTCATTTCACTAATAAGTGGTTAATTGCAATGAAAGGAAGAACGGACTTACCTTTTGTGGTCTTAAAGCCTTGATTGATAGCGCGGGTAGTCCTCACAGCGGCTCTGTAAATGCGCCAGTAGAAGTAGAGCATCACAAACATCGGTATGTAAAAGGAGCCGAGTGCAGAGTAGACCACATAACCACGATCATTTGTTAGTTCACATTTCCAAGGGCATGGCGGCGGTGGTGAATATGTTTTATAGGTAATAGTGCTTCTCATGTCATCACCATTGTCAAAATCAGTTTGTGCGGTTGAGTCAGCATTTACAGTTGCTGGGTTTGTTGTGGAATTTATGGCTGCAATGGTCGCTGCAGCTATGCTTTCGTTTTCTAAAGACGAAAATGCGGGATCATAGGGATTATATGGATTAAATGCTGGTGCTGCTGCTGCTGCCGCTGCTGCTGTTATGGTTGTAGATTGTAAGTATTTCTGTTGTTGCTGCTGTACATTATTTGTTGCTGTGCTTGTTGTTGTTTTAGTAGTTGTAACAGCATAATAAAGCGTATTGTTTCCCTGTGTATATGTAGCAAGTATTGGCTGTGATGGCTAAAAATAAATTGAACAATTAGTTTAGTTTATTGAAGATATAAAATAATAGAAAAGTAAATCATCATATCATTTTAAATTCAATAAAAATAATAACAATGAATTAGCAAAAAGGGTTTTTTTGTTTTTATGTTTCAATTAAATTAAAAAGAATAAATAAAGTTCTTAGCTTAAGTGGCACTTCATAAAAAACTTATTAGCCGACTGCATAAAAGTATGCTACAAATTTCTTTAGAAATTTATTGGTACTGTTTGGAAATAAAATAGCAACTGTGTGTCTGTCAGCTTAATTCATACCTACTGCTCCCATTGAAGATATTCTATGTTAAAATATGCCACACTTACACCAACACGTAACTTTCTTAGTTCCGTATGGCATTACGTACTCATTTTAATGTTATAAAAAGCATAAGGGCGGAACTAACACATTTTTACGTCTATAGCTGCTTTATTAAAATTCGATTTGTATGCTAGCGGCTTTTATTGATTTCTGCAGCGACCTGATTTCAATACTTTGCATTGCGAGTGATTTACATTTTTTTATACTTACCCTTCTCTTTTATATCGATAATATAAATAAATTCTTTTAATATATTTTGATATAAAATACAGTGTTTATTTGTGTATTGCTCAACACAAATCTGCTGCTTGCAACAAACTCACTGAACTCAACTCACAGAACATTGTTGTGCTTTAAAAAAACTGTTGCACTGCACAGCAGCATCGTTAATGTTGCTATATTAAATTGCTATATATTTACCAACTACACTTCCTCTCCATCCTCCTTCCCCTCCTCCTACAGAATATTTTTACATTTTGCTATCTTGTATTTGACATTGAATACAATTTTTGTGATGATTTTCTATTTAGTTTGCAATGTGCTTGCGCCACATATGTATACATTATCATTTTTTATCATTTCTCTGTCGTAAATTTTACAATATTGACTTTGTAAAGCATCACAGACATTGAATGTACCAGAATTCAATAAAAACCTATTTAAGTGAAAAGTTAGAAAATTAGGAACAAAAAGTAAATATTGGAAAAATCTACACTTAATCCACAATTTTAATGCTGATTCTGCTTCCGGCTATCAGCATTTACACAAACGCATCAGCAGCAACAACAACAACAACAACAACAGTAGAAACAACAGCGACAGTTGAATAAAAATCTGTTGACCTTTGCTGTCAAAGTGCTTAGAACGTTTTGTTTGCCAATATTCTCATTCAATTCATGTATTCTAACTTAGCAGACATTTTTAACATTTTTTAGCATTTTATAACGTTTTTTAACATTGTTTAACATTTTTTAACATTTTTTAACATTCTTTATTATTTAACATTCTTTAATATTATTTAACATTAACATTTTGTGAGAAATATTTTTTCAATATCGTTTTTCGTTAGCTGTTATAGGTGAGATGGTATGTAGTGTGGGGTTTAAATTCAAAAAACTTATTCCAACAATATTGCTGTCTCATTCGGTGCATATTTCCAACACAAAGTTTAGGAATAATTACCGCTATATATGCAATAAAAAAATTATAATTAAAGTATTGAGTTAATTAATGACAAAGTCAAGACTATTTTAAGAGAGACTGAGCGCTTTATTTACAAGATATTTTAATAAAAAAGAAACCATAACCTATGGATAAGAGGATGCATTAGAATTTATAGCAATAAAAGGGTAATTTGAGTAACCATATTGTAAAAAAGCTACCACTTCGCTTGAAAGTGTTTAATGTGTTAGGTTAAGTTAAGTTGAAGTGAAGGTCTTGTGTCTAAACTCGCAAATAATGGTTCATTGTGATACCATGCATTACCGTTGTTCATATGTAGACTAAAATTGAACTAACCTGTAAAGCCTATAAACTTGGCCAAATCCCGATTTTTGTATTCTTGACACCTTCGTCAGTTTAATAAAACAAAGAGCAGCGCAGATTTTGTATTTCTTCCTAGCCAACGATGAACACAGATATTTGAGCTACAACACAGTGTCCTCCTCATTCGAGAACCACAATCACGATAAAAATTATTACACGGTAGACACAGTTTCATAGCTTATCTTTCTTGTACGCAGTGACTCGTCAGTAGTGATACCGTAGTGCTCAGCATGTTAATCAGTAACTCAGTTTAAATAGCTGTCTGGTATGTTTCTTTTGTCCAATTTGGATTAGATCGATCCTCAGATCTGACAAAAAGGTTCATATACCCAAGTTTGTGTAGCTATGCTCACGAATTTTTGTTTGATTGTCAGCTGGTATATGTAGTGAAAACTAACTTGTACAGTGAGTCATTCCTAAAATATTCGTAATTTCTCATCCAGAGTTTTAAATGCTATAAGTGTTAATTAAGTATTTAGCAAAACTTTGAGAAACGGTTTATGTAATATTGCCGTTGCTATAGTCCAAGGCATTAAACCTGTGTAAACTTTTAGAATGATTGTCACATTCAGCCTTGATTATACATCGGTTTTTATTGAATTCGTAATTTAAGTAACAACACTATATACTGTCTATTTATTGAAAATAATAGACATCGAGTATTTTCGAATGTATGTCTTAACATAATCCTTACATTACTAAGAGGGTTAGTGAGTTATGTGTTGCAGTTGTTTTCTTATGTCCACATGAGCAAGGACAACTGCTCTGATTGGTTTTTGTCTGCTTTCTTCCTTTGCTGTTGATTTTGTTGTTGTGATTATTGCAGAAGCATTTGCAGTTGCAACATTGACGTTTATTTTGTTGCATTGTATTTGTTGCTTGAATGATGTTAGGAATGCAAATATTTTACTATAATTTAATTTACAAGAAAATCAGTTTCAGTAGTACAAAGAATTGTGTGTAATAAATTGATTAAATTTGTATGTGAATTGTGAAAACAATTGCAAAACTTGATGCTTTGAATTTATCTAAGTAAAAAACTTTATTTGTTAAATTGTTTAACATATCGAATATTTCTAAATATACATATGCATAATAACTTGAATCCTTCACTAGTAACATTAATACACAATTCATACTCACATATAATAAATTTTCGTTTTAATCTTGATAAAAATTAAGGAGATTTTATAAAAAGATTTTTACAGGAGATTTTATAGAAAAAAAGAAATAAATAAATCAATCTCTATATAATCAGCTTAAAGTGAAATGAATTGCCAAATATTTGATGCCCTATTCTAATTAACAATCATTTCAAAAATATAAATCTCAATCAAAACAAAACGAAACACAGCCAAGCTGTCAATATTTACGATTATGTATGAAAATCCCTTAAATATCCTGGCGTATTTGGATAAGCCTAAGCCCATGAAACCGAAAGTTGGGAACAAAAAGTAATAACTTACAACTTTTTTACGACACACGTGCTGAACTTCCGGTGCTCCATTTCGAACCATTAATTCGGGCTCATTTTGTGGTATTTTGTGCAATTTATTGACTTTTGCAAATATTAAATAAAAATATTTTTATGTTTTTAAATCTATTTGTGGCACTAGAATTAATACAGAAATATATTTCACCGCAATATTTTGGTAATTGCGCCAACAAGCAGCCAACAACAACAAGACGAAGCAAATATCGCCGTAAAGTAGGCCAAAGGAAATGTAAACAAAAGCAACGTTTTCGGTTTCGGTACGGTTGTCGAGGTGGCGTCTGTTGACATCTAAAATTCAGTAAATTTATGGCTCCGTATTTATTAAGTTTTTTTTTTATCGGTACAAAAAAAGAGAAACTGGTACAGAAGAAGTCATTGCCAGATTCGGGGTCATTGTTTTCGCATTTGTTTGTTTGCGCATGGATTTCCAGCGACTTAACTGACCATTGTAATGCGATTAAAATTGGGTTTGACCTGCAGGATTGTAGCTCGAAATGGTAACAAAATACTTTGTGACCGTCACTAAAGTGTGATATACATAAATGTATATAAATAAAAATGTATTTAAATTTATGTGCAAAAAATCAGCTCAAACAAGTTAAGGATAAACCAAGCCACTGTGGTGCACACTAAATTTCCATTTGATAACAGAAATGTGTTTAAGCCAACAACTGCAGCAGGTCCTTTTGATAATTTTATTTTTGTTTGCACATGTGGCACATCCTTTCGGTGGACGCTAAGCCGAGGCAGTGGTTAGGTTGTGCATAGAAACTGCTGACAACTTAATAATATTGCTCAAACACAAAATTTCGTATTCATATCCTGCACATTAAGCAACTTTATACTCGTGCAATACACAAAAAACTGATTTCACGTTAATTTTGGCACAACTTTGTGGATATGCTACGGTGTGCAGTCATATGGAATAAGTAGTAAATTCTGTAGTTTGCTTCCGAAGATAGTAAATTTCCTGGTTTATTGTTGGCAACCCTCAAAATGGTGTCAATAGCAGTTTTAATTCAGAGACGAAGGTATATTTCTCTTTAAAAAGCAAAAAAATAAAAGCAAATTATTTTACACACCATTCGAATTGTTGTTAAATTTACTGAAAAAATTGATATTATTTGGTTCAGAAAACATATAAAATAAAATTATACTGAACACAATTGCAATGCCCAAAACTATTAAATTAAATCGATGTCTGGTTACGAAAGTACGTCTAACATTACGAGTACATGACGACGCATCGCTAAAGGAATTTCACAGATACATTTTCTTGATAGATACTAAATGTGGCGTGCATTAAAAAATGTGACCGTATGAAATGTTGATTGGTTCGTTGGTTCATTGGTTCGTTTGTGCCTTTGTACGTTATTGGGCCAAAAGTGCTTTTCAATAATGCCGTTTACTTAGAGTGAAAATGTCAAAAATCTACTGCTTTACAAATTGAAGTGATGAAAAATGACTTTTCACAAAACCAAACATGAGAGCACATACAGACCGAATGGTGACAAAAGAAAAACTTACTGAAAGTAAGAACGACAAACAGAAATGCTTTCATAGCCTAAAAACACACTTCCTTTCCTTGCCTTTCCTTTCCTTCCCCTCCCTTCCTATTATTTCCTATCATTTTTCCAACTTTGGTTTGCTTTCGCTGGCGAACTGGCGAACCAAACGCTTTTAAGTTATTACGGCCATATATTAGAGGCACACTCACACACACACACACACACACAGGCACACCACACACACTTGAGACACATATACATGCATACGATGTGAAATAGAAATTCTTTTCATTTTGTTGACTTTAATGCAAAGAGAAATGAATTAAGAAGGACTATAGGACTACAGGACTACATAGCAGAGACATTGTGTTGTACATATAAAATGACACCAAAATTATGCTTAAAGGATTCTGCACAATTGCGCCGGAAAAGCGGAAAAGCGGAAAAGCAGAAAAACAGATGCAGACATGAGAAATTAGTGCTCATTTGTGTGTGTGAGCGAGCAAGCGAGCCATGCACAGTTAAATGATTATTTATGTGTAAAAAGGATATTTTTTTAAATCTGTGTTTATATGCTAATAAATAGAACACATAATAGCAAATAGCAAATAAAACGAGAAAGTAGGAAAGATTTCAATTTCTCATTTCATCGCTCATTTCCAAATTTTTGTTCAGGATATTTTGGACGTGCTTTGCAATAGAAAAAGCAGTTTTTGTTAAACAAATGTGAAAAGAATTAAGAAAAATACTCATTTTATATTCGCTACGTTCCAAGGATAATGATTAAATAACATTTATCATCTGTAAAACTTATCTATTTGAAAAGTTTGTGCAAATGTATCATCTTGACGAGCTAAAAAATTGATGATAATGCAATTAAAGATATATAAAAATACTCTGTGACAAAAGTTAGTTAATGGACTGCATGCCACCAATTCTAAATTTTCAAACTAAGACTCCTAATTCCTTATCCAACTAGAAAAAGGTGGAAGTTAAAATCTGTGACAGGTAGCTCTGAACTAACCATCATCTCGGACGGCTTAAACATGGGACAAGATACAAGGTCGTATATATACTCGAAGGACATGCTGGTAAGGCAGCCACATTAACTCCTTGGCACTTGTAGAACTTATCAGGCTTAAATATATACAATTGACAATTAGTTAAATATCCCAAAGTTCTGGCATAAAGTTGGATTTTAAAACTGAAATTCCTAATTCTTTATACAACCAAAAAAAAGGTGGGAGTCGGAATCTGCAACAGGTAGCTCTAAAATTATTATCAATACGGATGACTAAATGGAAAGTTGTGAGAGGGCATATATGTACTCAAAGGACTCAATTCTGGATTTTAAAACCGAAATTCTTAACTCTTTATACAACCGAAAAAAAGGTGGTAGTCCGAATCTTCGAATCTAAGTTCCGAAATTAGTATCAGTACGGACGACTAAAAAATGAAAAGATATAAGTAGGCAAATATGTACTCGAAGGACATGGCTAGTTAGGCAGTTCTTGAAAGTTAGGTTGATCCTTGACACTTGTAGCAAGATAGTACAATTCAATTTTCGAAGATCATTATTTTTGTAAATATTTAGACATTATTTAAGGTAATTGAATACAAAACGATTAGGCCAAGGATTCTAATAAAATGTCGAGCATTCTTACTAAATATTAAGCATCACAAGATCTCTCTCAATTTGGTTCCTGGCCAAATCAATGAAACGAGACAGTATTTGTGAGAGCTAGAAAAGGTTCCCTAATGGGTTTAAACACAATACTTCAACACATACATTCATGCAGAAGCTATTTTGAATGGGAAACCAATTCTCAATTGCGGTGACGAGTCGATAATGGACAAACACAACGAAGGGAGTACAATAGATGATTTTATAGCTTAAATTAAGTAAGAAAAAATGAAAAATCTTTAATTTGTGGCGAATAGTTCCGAAAAACTCGATGGGACTTACAAAATATAGTTCATAAATATAATAATATCTGGATGCTGTAGGAGCCATTTGTGCAGTCAAAGGTTTAATAGCAATTGGATTACCACAATTTTATGTGCGGCACTTTGTTATTGAGACGATGTATTCCGAAATTGAAGGCACAGTAGTTGCCGTAATGAAGAGGAGGTGATATACTATAGTCATTTTATATGTCTAAGTTTAGGATTACAGATTAATTGAGTGTAATTGACCCGTAATTCGTTTTATCATTAACTCGACAAAGAAAAATATAGTTTAGGAAGACTTATCAGATCTCCCTAAGTTTTAATAAACGACCAATATTTTTAACAACGATTTCTGCTGGATTTATAATGGGAACAAAGGTACTGTCTTAGAAATAAGGGCGTCATAATGAGTAATAGAGGAAAGTGTTGATACTTGTATAAACATATGCCTTCTAAACATAACTTAATCCAACTGTGATGAGTTAAAGTGATAGTGAAATGTGAGTTATTTATCTATAAAAAGTTTGCAAGTATTCATATATTTCTGTTATAGATTAAGAGGCGTCCCTGAGTTTGAAGTGGTAAGCAAATCAACGAATTTATTTATTACAAATACTCAAATTAGTCAGTGAGATGGGTGGGACTCTGCAGAAACTCCGCAGCTATCGAAGAGTAGAAGTGCCCAGATGCACTAACTCGGAAAGGCTCAACATTACATTACATTACTTAATATGCGTGTTATATTGCAGTGCAAATAAATTACATATTCTGCATTCACAGCGTATATTTATTATTTTATAGAAAATTGCAGTTTGCTTACAAAATGAACAATACTCAAAGGACAATTCGATTTCTTATTGTATACTGATTAATGCCGGACGTTTCCATTTGCATCTCAGAAGTGTATCTGCGAATTTCAATGGAACATATACAACATTTCAGTGTGAATACGAGTGTCTTGTGACACAATCCGTACAAATGCCAATATGATTCGATACGATGGCATTGTATAATAACACAACTTCAATAATAATGTGTCTGCTGGTATGTGTTCATATTTAATTCATGACATATTAACCCGTGTTGCTGTGTGCTTGTAGAACAATTTCAGCTTATCAAAGGCATTTATGCACATATAAACATAAATGATGTTATCAATTACAATAACAAATGCAAACAATGAAGTACAACGAAATCCTATACAAGCCACGTGAAGTTAATATTAACACTGAAGGTTGTGTTTCGCTTTAAGTCGTCGCTTTGCTACTGCTACTGCCACTGCCACTGCCACTAAGGATCCTGGCAGGCACAAGCATATTTGTATGCGGATACCAATATGCCTCAGTTTGTTAGGAAATTTGATTGTATTATCTTATTTTCCGAGAATTTCACTTTTGTCGGCATTTTACGTAGAATATAAGTCATATATAAAATGAAGTCTGAAACCGCAATTGTGTAGTATAACACGTGAGACCGGCGACCGGAGACCGGAGACCGGAGAACGGCGAGGAGAAGTTATGTGCATATTAAGAGGCCAATTGTCAGTCAATAAGGTAAATAAACGAAAATAATATTAATAATAATATTGTTATTTTATGAGCATTTGTTTTCATAACTTCGTAAATGGAAGTGTAAAGTGAGTTCCAATGTATAAAATGGTATTTAGTTTCTTTAGGATTTCTACTCTTATGTATTCAACAGTGTTAATATAATACCAAACAGACATTTTAAATGTACTCGCTTACAATAAGTAATCAAAAGTATACTAAATACACAAGAGAGAATATTCAATGAAATTATGCAAATACCATACACTTAATAGCTAATAAAATTCATATTAAGTATATTATTCGTACTAGTATAAAGTTAAATAAATCAATACATACTATACATCATTCATAGTTTAAATCAGCTTAGTTAAGTGATTCTACAAATAGTAAAGATATTTAATGTTTTTAGATAAGTATTTGACTTTAAAGCTCCATGTATTTAAATCGATATTTGGTAGCTGCATAGGCATGAATCAAGATTTAAAATGCGGGTATTAAGTTACATTGAAAAGTGTTTTTAAGTTTTGTTTTTGGTACATTACATTGTGTAAGCTTTTGTCTACAACATTCAAAATGAAACATCCTTACAATGATGTAAAAAATGTATAACATTTGTCATTAAATCAGAGCTGGAGGCAGAGCAGCTTTTATGCGAGCTGCTATATAAAAAATGATGAAAACGTATAGTAGCAAGTGCCATGTTCTCTTTGTTTACTTACCTTTTGATCCTTCCAACCAACAAGCGGCGGAAAGCATATTACAAATGATAGCACCCAGATGCCCGCTATCAAGGATTTGGCTTTCTTTGTTGACATTATGGTGGGGTAGTTGACAGGACGTGTAACGGCCACATATCTGTCAAGCGAGATGGCGCACAAGTTCAGTATTGATGCCGTGCACATCCAAACATCGACAGCGAGCCATATGCGACACCAGACATCACCAAAGATCCAAACCTTTATGGTGTTGAAAACAGGAGTAGAAAAGTAGAAAGGAAGAGTGAACAGTTAAGTGTAAATAATTAATTAATGGATTCAGTTTTTAAATGTAATTGACATCAAATGCATTTGTCATGAAAGCGAAATTATAGAAAATACTTTGGCATGCTGCGTAAATTCTATGAAAATTGAAAATATTTTTAAATCATTACTGACAGACAGCATTAATGGAATGGAAAAAAGTTTTCAAATAAAATGAAATCAATATAAGTTGATTAAAATATCTACAATTTTTACTATTTTCAGTAACTATAGTGTACATTACTATGACGAGTTATTTTATTGTCCAAAAATGTGATAGTTTATTTCTTATGCAAAAGCAATTCACTTAAATGTGAAATTGAAAAATTTAATATAAGATAAATAAAACGTTACTGCATTATTTATATTTACAATCAACACTAAATTAATGTATCCAGATGAGAGTAGGTAAAAGTGAAATTATTCTTGAATCTTAATGATTACTTGATCCACCAAAGTCATCGCCTTAATCACTGTCAAAATTAAACCCACTCATATCCCAAATAATGGAATGACAGCGTTTTTTTATTTATTTATTTCAGTATAACATCTATACAGACCCTCTGTGTTATTCCCAAAGTAATTATGGCAAATCTTTTTGCAAACAAGCCACTTCATAGGTCATAGGAAGTTAACAAACTTATCCCAACTAAACCCCATTGTGCAACTAGTAGATTAGTGCATTGGACACGAACAGATACTGTAACGGAATTTCGTGTGTGTTTACTTACCTTAAATACTTCCCATGTAGCTGAGAATGGTAGCACCGCTAAACCAACCAATAAATCGGCTACTGCTAAGTTAACTATAAAAAAATTTGTAACACTTCGTAACTTATTCGAACAGAAAACTGCGGCTATAACCAAACAATTTCCTCCTATCACTAATACATTTATAAATTCAAGTATGGCTAATGAGATCAGATTCGTGGGCTCCGTCCATTGTACTGAATTGATGAGATTCTCACACTCCGTTTCATTCATGGCGGTATTTTAATGATGGTTATGTGCATATACGTTTCGACCACCTGAAATAATACAAAACACAAATAGCAAATATAAAAAATTGTTTAATCAATTTGCCAGCAATTTATCTAAGAGATTGCTTTAGAGATTGATATAAGCGAAAGCAGATACTAGCGGTGGAAGTTGCATTAATTACTCGAATAATTGTTATTTTATGCAAATCATTACTTCTACTTTTGTTGGTGATGAATGAAACCTTAATTAGTCAGCAATGCTGTAATTTTCCTATTTAATTGCAAACGTTTTGCCATTTCACTTTCGCTGCTCTGAGTTGGTGAAGTGTAAAATACAAGAGCCCTATCCTTTGTATAAAAATAATAGAAATATTCACAAGAAATTATCGCAAAAGATTATTAAATATTTTCAAATTCGCTCGCAATTAGTAGCTACACTTCAAATTAGAATGACATTAGTCTTTGGGTCGTGATTGTCCTAGCATAGTGGTTTAAAAATTATATGAAAATATCTAAGGTGTAATGATCTGCAATTTCACTTTTTTAAAAAGAATAGGGATTGAGACTATTTGAAGGCATATGAACTAATCCAATTAACTCCAATGAAAGAGAATATATGCAGTCCTTCAAATCTTTAAATGAAGGTCAAAATGTCTGTCATTGTGGTGTTTTTTGTATGGTGAGGGAAAGCACCAGACAAAAGCTGGACATACGATGATTAAGACTAGAGTTGTCAGCGCCGTGATGCGAGTGAAGAAAGAAAAATATTCTTTATAGGAACTAATGTATTAAAAATATCTTTTAAAAGAATTTTAACACTTTTTAATAGATAGCTAATTTTCATTGAGTATTAAATAATGTATTTCTAGATTCAGCTTTAAAAGATTCAGTTGAATTTTAAATAATAATAATAACAGGTTTTTAAGATACTTAAAATTTAATGATTGAAAATTTTTTTAAATTAAGTTTGATGGAGAATATTTATAAATAGTATACAGAATATTTAATCGAAATTAAATTGATATATTAATGAAATCCTTTCTCCTGCAAAATTTTTTGAATTCTTGATCTATATATTATATACAATAATTTCATATAAATATAGAATGGAAATACCTTTATACTACTTATTAACTGACAAAACAGCAGATGAAGCTTATACATTTTATAATATGAAAAAGTAAAAAGGTATATAAAGTTTCTGATAAGTGATATGTATCAAAAAGTCTTCAGATATTACTTGCTTACTTCTATGACATAGATCTATCTAACAATATATATATGAGTATATGCTCAGTAGTAAAAGGAAGCAAATAGGAGAGCTCGGCAAGTGTAGATAATTTGAAATAGAAAACGAAAACGCTTTCTATTTAAATATATAAGCGATGTGAATTTAACCTTATTTGATGAATAATTACTATACACTGCGTAATAAAACAGTATTTTTATTTTATTTTATTGTACTATTTTTACAAGAGTTTTAAAAATTAATTTTCCGGTTTTTTTTTCTCATTTTTTAGTCATATTTCATATTTTCACATTCTAATATTTTTTGTATATTTGGTGCTGTTAACTAACACTTTGACATATGCACTTGTAAGCGCATATTTGAGCTAAATTTTGCATTCATTGTTTAATTGAGTGCATTTAATGAACTTATTTTGGTATCAATTCATTTAGTTGGATAATTCGTGAGGAATGCCCATATTCTTAATACATGTGGAGTAGTATATAGTATCTAGTGTAGTATATAGTGAAATAAAAGTGTATAAGTATTTCTATAATTATATTATTATTATATTATTACACATAACAAAAATGTAACATGGCAACTTCAATTTAAGTTTGACTTTTAACACACATATGTGTATCATATAAATTTGAGGAGAGTAAATGAGTTAGTAGATCGCTGACAGACCAAAAGAATAGTGCGTTTTAATTGTATTCTGAGCCGCTCGACTACACATATTATCGTTATTTTTGTCAATGTTGTTGAGAATTTTTTTATATAGCTTTCATCCGATTAAACTGAAATAAAAATGTTCATTTATTTTAAAATAAACATTTTTTTCGGAAATATTTGTAGATTTCAAGAACTCAAGTTACAAACTTAGTAACCGAGTAACATGATAATAGTGCAAAGGAATAAAAATAAAATACATTTACTTTAAATGTGCCCGCTTTGCACTGTTAATATATTACTCCTTTTTCGGTATCATGAAAGTCCTTATCATGTGTGTATATTAAACTCTATTGAAAAATACCTTTAGCAGAATATTAAATTTTACAAATATTGTTTATATATTTAATTAATTGACATCATTATGACTTGAATATAGCACTTATCGTCATTGTAATCGCAATAAAGATTATCAACCTTATCAGATATTTTTCCGAGTAATGAAATTAAAACCTTAATTAACAAAATTAAACAAAAGCAAGTAAATATGCACGGAAATTAGTGTGTAGAAAATACGCTCATTAAAATTTTAATTCATGTTTGTACATTGAATCAATAATTGCTTCAACACTTCAACAAATTAATTGCAAAATTAAATTAAATTACACACGCAAAGGTTACAAATGTTAAATCATTCACAATTGACGCCAGCAGTGGCGTTGCTTCCGGTTGTGTATGCAAAACGATTTAAATTACATTTGCTCTCCTGCCGTTATTGTTCGCTGCGAATAAAAACGGAGCAGGCACGAGGTCTGCTCCTTAATCCTTTACAGTTTCGTTTTAGTTCCACAATTTTTTTTTTTTTTTTGTGAATTTTAAACATGCAAACTTTAGCACTTCGAAAGGGGAAAGGAGTTTCGAAGGAGTGAATACTCATGTACTTGTCCCTTGTTTGAACGGACAAAAAGCTGTTTAGTTAGTTAAGTGTCCCAGTACGTTGAATATTGGGAGCTATTAGGAAAATATGCTGACGGCTGCCAAACAAATAAGCAAATCCAAGTTGAAAGTAATAACGTGGAAGGTGATTAATTTGCTCCTTGTAACTCCGCTAAGCGCGTTAGGTATTACGCATATAAATGTGATTTTTCTTACAACATTCTTATAACACGATAATTACAGTACCTTTATTAAAAGTATTAGCAAATTTTTGCTAGAAACTCATTTAAATGAAAACCGCCACTTCAAAGCAAATTTTATTTTCACATCCTGTATAATTCAACATTCCACGCTAGGAAAATGTTGTGACATTGCAATACTAATGTGCTGTAATTATGTTGAAGGAAGTGTTTGCTCCTTTGGTTGCTTTGAAGGATAACATTTCACTAATCTCGATAACATTTCAATCTGATTCTCTGTTGTTAGACCTTAAAAATTTAGTAATGTTATCGGCAATACTGATTCAATAAGAAAGATTGTGTGTTATAATTAAAAAGTGGATTAACAGGAGTATCTCATCTTGTAAAGCATACGAAAAACGTTTCTGTATAATCACATTTTATTATAATAGAAATAATATTGCGCAAAATTTAAATATACAGCTTTAAGGATCAAGGCATTTATGAGCAATAAATGTATTCAAGTCGGAACGCTTTCTGGTGTTTAAGAATAATAGTAATACTAAATCTAGATGATATAATAGGTTATAATAATAATAGTAATAGTAATAATAAAAATTTTTTGTACTAAATAATTTTCTATTGAGATGATGGGGTCTACGTATTACCAATAATATATAACTGTATTTGTACAATTATCCATCGACTCTCGATTTCATTATATTCTTAAATATTGCTGAGAGTATCTGTTAAATATATATCTAAAACATTAGCTGGATGTTGAAATGGTCAGGATCAAATTTTGTACTCATATTACAGTTTTAGTTATATATCATTTTAATAAAGAGATCTTCCGGACAGTAGTGTACTACAACAAGAAAAACTCATTTTATATTATTTTTAATTAATTGATTTTTTGGTGTCCTGCCAAATCTGAAGCTCAGAGTCAGCGCACTTTAACCAACTGACCCAAAGCAGTATTTGACTTTCATGTTTGACTTTCACACTTCTCTGGAGTTTTGTTAATTTGTTATGAAAATTTTATTAACAAATTCACTTGCTGTGTTTAAATTAGAACGAAATCATAAACCAGCTTTAGAATAACTGAATTAATTTATTATATTTTTATTTTTATTATTTTTAATATTGTTAAATTTCAATACTATTCTGTTTGTTGAGGTATTATTTATCGCATGATTTATATATTCTTTCTTATGTATAGAACTTAATCTAGGAACGTTGTACTGAGACAATCATGCTGATGTTACTATTTTAATCAAAGGTTGTGAAGCTGTGAATGTAGCTAACAAAAAATTTAATTATTGAAGCACATTTTTAAACTCCAATTATAATTCTGGAAATAATTTTTAAAATAAGAAAAACTAATGAAATCAATTACAGTACTTTTAAAAGTTAATGAAAGGCACTAATTACGTTAAAATTTTATTGGCAGAATTCTACCTAAATTAACCTTCGTCATGTGAAGCCAAAATCCTTGTAGTCAATAAATGTTTCCTTTTTTCTTGGACTTTTCCTCCTTATTTCTCTATACCCAAGTGCTGTGTCAAAATGCCATTGAAACATTTATCAATGAGCAACACAGCTGTTGCGTTCGGAATTTTCGTATTTCTAATTTGTTTTTTGATAAAAAAAAATTTGAAAATATTTTCTCCCTCCTTGCATCTAGCCTTGCTGGTTTATGGAGCAAACTTACCAGAAATAAAACCAAAAGCCACGAAATTTATGAGTTTTTGTTTTACTACCAACGAAAGGAAAATAAATGAAATGCAGAAAAAATAACAAAATAATAACGAAGTGAACAAAACAGCATTAAATCACACAAATTATTAATGACAATGTTAACAATCAAAATTTATGTCCGTAAACACTCGAAATGTTCGGAGCTATAAAATTATTCGAAATATCCTCATTAACTCTTGTAAAACAATAAACCACACGTTAAAACTTATAAAGTGTGAATTTATTAATAAAATTAAATTTCATTTTCCTCCACAGGGAAATGCTTCTACAGG